CAGTATTTTATTATTATTATTATTATAATTATTATTATTATATTTTATTCATATTATTATTATTATTTATATTTTATATAATAAGACTAATCCATGTACCGCGGCGAACAGCAATTCAGCAATTACGACCTTAATTTCATGTACACATTTTACCTGTATATTACCAATATTTGTGGCACTGCAGAGGGCTGGATTGTGCAGCACTGCTAGATCGCACCGGGTAAACAACAAAAAACCATGTTTTAATGTTTTGGTGTTTAATTCTTCTTAGAATCCTCTCCAACGGGATTACAAAAACAATCCATTCAGTTCTCCCGGCCAGATTCCTCTCTTCCTTTTTGTTTGGAAACAATCCATCAGTTCTCCGCCAGAAGACCGAAACTCGTCGAATGTCGCCTCATTTGTCTCGATTGGCGAACGGAATGGGATCACAATCGTTAGGATGGACATACGCAAGTTACTCAAGTACTATTCAATTTTTTTTCTAAAAGTAAACCTCTAATTTATTAGACAGAAGCGTTTTTTAAATACATTATTTATTTGAAGTTATTCATGTTAATAAATTATTTCATCAATAACCTATGAAAAATAATTTACGAACATGTGTGACTTCAAATAAATAGTTTATTCCGAGAAACTAGCCTGTCTGAAATATAGAGATCTACTTTTAAAAAATCTGAATAATTTAATAGAGACACAATTTTCAAAATATTTCAAAACACTCAAGTACTGTACAGGAAAGTGACTTGCCATCGGACCGCAGGAGACTCGCGAGCTTATTGTTATTATAGTAACGTTAAACGCAACGTTGAAGAAATCTGAAAAGTCTGATAGCGAACGCGTACGCTCCGCCGAATAGGAACCGCGTGAGAAGGCGTGTGCGTGCGTGCGAGCGTGCGTGCGAGCGAGCGTGCGAGCGTGCGTGCGTGCGTGCGAGCGTGCGTGCGAGCGTGCGTGCGAGCGTGCGAGCGTGCGTGCGAGTGTGCGTGCGAGTGTGCGTGCGAGCGTGCGTGCGAGCGTGCGTGCGTGCGTGCGTGCGAGCGTGCGTGCGAGCGTGCGTGGGGCCGGGCACGGCGCCTG